AAGTAGTATTAAAGATATCACTGTGATCTATTATACAGCTTTTAACTGGAAGATGTCTCCAATAAAAAACGTATCAGTATATTTGAGTCACAAACAACAACTTGGTGCAGAAAGTGCCATTAGTTGAAGAAGGTGTAAAATTTTCAAATTTCAACAGCAACAWTGTTTGGCGGCAAGTTCATCCAAAATGGTGCCTTTTTTCTTTTTTTTCTTTGTCTTAGCGAGTTTTGCAGGTCTAGTGATTACATACCAAGAACTAATATTTCATTCACACAATGTAGGGAAAAGAAARAGATTTGATTTGTTGCGATTGGATTTTTCTTTATTCTAATGGACACACCATTTGAAAGACTCAAATAGATAGCCGGTTTTCTAATGATCTATCCCTAAACATGACGTCTTCCTATCAGGAATGTACCGTCTTTCTAATGTCTTGTTTTGCTGTTGGTTTTCTTATCTATTCCCACCTGTGGCGCTACTACAGTAAGTATGCAAACTGAGTAGAATGACAGCAATCAAAATCAATGCCTTCATGTTGATCCTAAAAAAGTATTGGAAAAAGTTTTTAAATATTRATCCTTTCTTTGTTTCCATGTGTGTGACCTGTGTCACCAGTAGTGACTTATTTGTCGTCTGTRTAGGGCCTTTTCACACTAATGGTATAGGGCGCCTTTTGGCAAGGCCCTTGGCTCAATAGCCTGAGACCAATGTGGCACACAAAACGTTGACGAGGATTAAACCTTACATATCGATATTATAAAGTACACCTAGATAATCATCGCAAACTTTCTTTCATTGTTCAGTCACTTTTACACGCGACTTAACTTATCAGTTATAATTTCCCATCAAATAGCAAAACCCATGGCTCCTTTCGCTCGTGAAATCACCGTTCGACAATTGACAGTCGCCATTTTATCCTACAACCTTTCTTGAAATAGATATATTATATTCGCTCTATTGCAAATCTTCTTGTGATTTATTCATGGCGAAAATGACTTAACTAGTATATAAGTAATAATATAAGACATTTATGACTAGCTTCTATTAGGTTATTTGTCATTACTTAAGTATACACTTTTTATTCATGTACACTAATTAGTTAATACCCCAGTCTAACCCTGTGCTGTTTGTTAATACTTGTTGTGTTCTTGGGACAATATAAATCAAATATTTTAGGCATAGTCTAGTTTTATGCAAAAAAAGTATAAAAAAATCACAATACTTACCTTTTCTGCCGGATTAGAACGTAATAGCTTCAGTCAAAGTTGTCTTCAAAAAGTGTGCACCAGTTACTTGCTACATGTACCCGCAGTCTAACACGTTTTCATTACCTCTATAGATACAGCCAATAAACTTGTACTTTGTTACCTCATTTTAACACGTCGACTACAGTGATTGTTTTCATTGGCTTGTTAATTTTACACATTGTGAATTTGGCGCCGGTTGTAGGAAGGGTGAATAGCGSTATACATAGGATAAATCCTTATGCAGTGGATAAAATCCCGTACAAAATCTAACAAGTGGATAACTTTATCCACCTTTCGTACAACCGATCCCCTGTTCGTAAAATTATTAGTGAATTTTAGAGTGAAAGCTATATTTATTAATATGTGTTACCCAAGGCGTCTTATCACCAAACGAGGTTAAAATTATTGTTGTTATAGTAAAGACTGAGGGATTGAGAGAGAGAGTGATGGCGAGTTAAATTGTAGGCTGGGATGACACTAATTGTGGCGTCACAATTTTTACTTAGACTTTCAAAGAGTCCCTTTTATCCCCCTTAATTTTCTTCGCGTGTTTACTTGGTTCTCAAAATTTCTTTTATCTTTTGTGAGTCCAAGAGAGTCCACTACTTGTAGCAAGTCTACTTTTAACTTTTTCGAGTAGATTCACTGAATCAGCGTCCGCCATCTTGGCTTTTTCTTCATTTTGTTTTTCATAATTTTTACTAAAACCAGTGTTCATATAATTCCTTAAAGAACGAAAACACAAACAAAAAATGACTTGAAATTAAATTCAAGATGGCAGACGTTTTCGGAAAAAAACGCGTCATCTTTGCACTTCAAAAACCCTCAAAAACCTAAAATGTTAATCAAAATGGTTACTTCATGTGATTTTACAAGAACGTTTATCATGTTTATTCAATATATTTTATCATATATCAACTCAAAAAAGTAAATAGATTACATTTGTTAAAAAATTAATAAATAATTACTGAATCAACTCCATGCTGTCTCGTCCAAATGGTCGGTCGGTAGTTCATTAATGGTCCCTGGAATCAAATATCTATCTTAATTTATACAACTTTTCAGTAAAATCAGACGTTTTGATTGGTTGGCTTTCGTGTGTTATCAAAGTATAGATACACGGATTACGTCAAAACTAATTAGATAGATCTCATTTTTCCGTGTGTGTGTACTCTAATAGATACACAGATGACGTCAAAATGTAGTGAGAACAAAAGTCATGCACTCGACTGCGTCTCGTGCGTACTTTTTTGTTCTCACTACATTTTGACGTCATCTGTGTATCTATTAGAGTACACACACACGGAAAAATGAGATCTATTTGTTAAATAGCGCAATAGGTAATAATGCAAATGATATATAGTTTTCTTCGCATTGTTAGAACTGAACTGTAAAGTTGTAAAGCGCTCAACTTAAGAAAATCCTCGACATTTTGTTGGACACCAAAAACATATCAGTAGGTTATCGATATCTGCATACAGTCATTTAATTAGCATTGTCTAAGGATGATTTTCAGGCATCCCTGAGCGACTAGACTGTGACGAAAAATAAAGTAAGGCAGTAAGTGAGAGACCGCAAGGGAGTATGGGCAAATTAATATGCATCTCCATGGAAACTCAAGATAAATATTTCTAAAGTAAATATGGCTTTCAAAGGCTTCAGTTTCGCTTTACGACCGAATATTATACGTACCTCCAGAAATAACTGATGAGACTGAAGGAGTCTTCAATGTTCTCATAMACTTTTCTAAATCAAATGAAATAGCAACACGTCGACGTCAATACTAGGGTAACCAACTATAACCTACCCTTAGTTTGGCTACTAAAAGCAAAAGGTGTGGTTGTCCAGGGGTCATAAAATAATGACGTTGGTAGAAAATGCGCTTCGTGATCAGTCGAAGGACAGCGATATATAGAAAAAAAAACAGTTACAAAACCTAACCTTCCTTGCTCGAAAACAGCAGTCTGTGGAATTCAATTACAAATTAGATTAAAAATRACTCATTAAGTTA